TAGGCACAACACGTGATTGAATGAATTATTTATAATCTTAAACTTATAAATATTATAAACTCATGGCGATCTATGCTGCGTTGACATTAATAACACGATTTTAGACCTTAAAAAGTAATAATGTAAATTGATTACAGTCTACATATTTATTACCAAAATTATTATCTTAATCGAGTGATTTAATTTTTTTTTCTCCCGACATAAAAATACTGAGATTAAAACGAATATGATAGTTAATTTATATAAAAAACAAATACAATATAATGAATCATTCTTTTTTGTTTTATGTAATAAAAAAAAAATATATATATATATATGCGGAAATTTAATCTATGTATGGAGTTTTCAAACGTAGCAAAATGTTTTTTAAATGTCATTTTATTAAGTCTACGGATAATACAACAAAACAATGTTTTTATTATTTTTAAATTGTCGTTGAATTTTAAAACGTCGTGAGCAGTCGTTTTTGTTATATTTTTACAGTTGTTAATAATAAAAGCTAAATTAGAGCCAATGACATCTGATATTGTCCTATTTTAATGGCATAATACAGGTTCATAAATTTATATAAAAAATGAATTATTTACACTAAGACGTTGATACAATTTTTGCCATCTCTCTCTCACAAATAAAATATAACTTATTTATGAGAATTAAAATTAAACTCCTTCTCTCATCTTTTTTGAACAAACATTTTTTTACCTGTGAAAAAGAGAGATACACATTTATGCATACGTCCTCGTTTCTTTATATTATTTGAGTTAATAATGGTAAAATTTTACTTTTATTTTCCATAAAAATAATTTCAAACCGGCTTGTAAGATTCACTACCATAGATTTATTTCTAATCAAAATGTTATCATATATTCTTTTCGCTGTAATAGTTAAAATCGTTAAAATTCTTATGAAATATACGACATTCTTGAATTTTAATCTTAATGGCATTAGTTAAAAATATTTTTTTTTTTTAATATTCAAGAAGTTTTAATAATTTTTATGAAAGATTTTTCTTTGAATAACGTCAACATTAATGAGCTATCATTGAAAATTGTTCAATACTTTAAATTTAACTACATTATAGGGAATCATGTTTACCAATTAATAATATTTTCATTTTTGTATCAATGTCGAATTTAAAAACTTCTTACTGTATAATTTAACTCTTGTTAAACCTTTTATTATTAACTAATACTTAAAATTTTACTCCGCACTTTCAAAACAATTTAATAAATTATAAGAAAACATTTTTATTTTATATCATTAAATAAAAAAAATGTAATCCTGATTTTGCTGATATTTAAAAATTAATTCATGATTGACCTTACGCGTTGTCTAACGTATTATCAACGTGAACAAATTAATAGTGTTAGACGTGTTATTACGTAAAATATAGATAAAATAATAATTAGCTATAAAATAATCTGTTGCCTACCATCTACCTATCATTCATTTGGAACAAGTCGTAGCTTGAGTAGCAAAAATGGTCTGCTCAAAAATTTTAATTACATTGGCAATTGCTGTAGTAGCAAAGGTATGTCAAAAAAATTCACAGTTACATTTATTACAAATATTATAATTAAATACATAATTAAATATTTGTTCAATTATTTTATAGATTCAAGCAGGACCATGTGGTTTTCCTTGTTCTCCCATCCCAGTTTCACCTTCTCCATGTTCAGCACCTGGCATTAGTCCTGCTCTTTTGAGCATATTGCCACTTTTGGCCGCAGCACCATCTCCACCTTGCCCAATCTTAGCCTCAGCTCCAGCCCCTCTTCCATTACCTCTTCTTACCCCAATTCCAGCACCAGCTCCGTGCTCTTCATCATCTTCACTCTCCGGACTTTTGAGCGCTTTGTTGCCACTTTTGGCCCCAGCACCAGCTCCAGCACCTATTCCATTACCTCTTCCAGTCCCAACCCCAGCACCTATTCCATTACCTCTTCCAGTCCCAACCCCAGCTCCATGCTCTTCATCATCTTCACTTTTGAGCGCTCTGTTGCCACTTTTAGCTGCCATACCAACTCCAGCACCAGCTCCTACTCCATGCTTTATTCCAGCCCCAGCACCAGCACCTATCTCTGTACCACTCTCTCCCTTGCCATTACCATTACCAGCCTCTGGCCCAGTCTCTCTTCCATTACCATGCCCAGCACCAGCACCATCTGCAGCTCCCTTCAACCCAGCTCTTTTGAACGCTTTGTTATCACTTTTGACCCCTGCCTCAACTCCACTCCCAGCCACTAACTCATTACCATTGCCATGTCCAGCACCAGCTCCAGTTCCACTCCCATCACCATTGCCATGCTCACTTCCAACCCCAGTTCCAACTCCCCTTAACCCAGCTATTTTAAGTATTTTGTTACCACTTTTAACAGCTGCCCCGGCTCCAATCCAATGTGCTGCTCCAACTACTTGTGGTTGTTAAATATTGTTATTTATGAATTGTATTAATTTAATAGAAATAAAAAACATCAATTACTAAAAAATATTTTTCTCTCTTATCCTTCTATTTATTTTCATCCGTTAAGACGTATGGTATTATTTTCCTCTTAACGAGATTGACTGTTTTTATAATCATCCAATTTGTAATTACTTATAAAATTATAGAATATTTGTCCATTTTTATTTTTTGTTATTAAATGGAATAAGTGATATTTTTTAAATATGTTTAAAATAAAGTGATCAATTCGTCAGATATATAGAAAAATATTGACACCAACATCTTATGCTATAAATACATTTTTAGCTTCGATGCGAAGCCGAGAACGTATTGGTTTCACTAAGATGTGTTTTTTTTTTGTGTCTGTTACCACTTTTTCTCAGCTCTCATCGAACCGATTTCTTTCAATGATACGTCAAAAGATCACAAATCGTATCTAGTCGAAGACATTACCCTCAAAAATGTATGGATAAAAGTTATTTGTTTATGATAAATACTATATATATAGTATAAAAGTATAACGTTTTCATCTAACTTTTGAAAATATTTCCGAAATTCAGACACTCTTATATATACCTAAAATTATAGCTTATAGAGTTATGTTCCTTTTGAAAAAAATTATCTTTGAACTTATCNGCTCTCATCGAACCGATTTCTTTCAATGATACGTCAAAAGATCACAAATCGTATCTAGTCGAAGACATTACCCTCAAAAATGTATGGATAAAAGTTATTTGTTTATGATAAATACTATATATATAGTATAAAAGTATAACGTTTTCATCTAACTTTTGAAAATATTTCCGAAATTCAGACACTCTTATATATACCTAAAATTATAGCTTATAGAGTTATGTTCCTTTTGAAAAAAATTATCTTTGAACTTATCTTAATAGTGAAAATGATAACCATTTTTAAAAATAATTTTTGAGCTAAAAAATTATGTTTAACTCATTTGATTTTTATCTTATTTAGGTTTAATAATTTCAATGAATAATCTAGGATTCCATCACTTTAAAATAAATGAAAAAAAAAAACAAATAAAACACATCATAATAAAATTAATACCTTCTCAACTTGGCATCGAATCTAAAAAATAAGATATTCTTATCGTAATGAACATTGTTAAATTAATTAATAAATTTATTATTATTAAAATTAAGTATTTATTTTTATAATTTAAAATAATAAACAAAACTTAGGCTGATTGTCTCATCTTGGATGTACGCGGGGATAACATTTTTTCATGATAAAATATATTACATTAGCTTTAATTGTTATAAAATTCATAATAAAATTAATACCTTCTCAACTTGGCATCGAATCTAAAAATTTTTTAAAATTAAACACTATCTACAGATTTGCATCGAAGCGTTTCTTATGATAGTGATTTTAATCACTGTCAGATTAAATCTATACTGGACCCTACTATGCAATGTCTCCACTATGCCGCGACCCCACTGTGCTACCGTTTTTTTTTTTTAAATAACCAAATCAAATAAAATAAATATTTTTTATATAGATGCATGAGATTTTTACCTTTCATTTGGTAAATTTGATTTGGTTATTTTTAAAAAATCTTAAATTAAAGCTAATGTAATATATTTTATCATGAAAAAATGTTATCCCCGCGTACATCCAAGATGAGACAATCAGCCTAAGTTTTGTTTATTATTTTAAATTATAAAAATAAATACTTAATTTTAATAATAATAAATTTATTAATTAATTTAACAATGTTCATTACGATAAGAATATCTTATTTTTTAGATTCGATGCCAAGTTGAGAAGGTATTAATTTTATTATGATGTGTTTTATTTGTTTTTTTTTTTCATTTATTTTAAAGTGATGGAATCCTAGATTATTCATTGAAATTATTAAACCTAAATAAGATAAAAATCAAATGAGTTAAACATAATTTTTTAGCTCAAAAATTATTTTTAAAAATGGTTATCATTTTCACTATTAAGATAAGTTCAAAGATAATTTTTTTCAAAAGGAACATAACTCTATAAGCTATAATTTTAGGTATATATAAGAGTGTCTGAATTTCGGAAATATTTTCAAAAGTTAGATGAAAACGTTATACTTTTATACTATATATATAGTATTTATCATAAACAAATAACTTTTATCCATACATTTTTGAGGGTAATGTCTTCGACTAGATACGATTTGTGATCTTTTGACGTATCATTGAAAGAAATCGGTTCGATGAGAGCTGAGAAAAAGTGGTAACAGACACAAAAAAAAAACACATCTTAGTGAAACCAATACGTTCTCGGCTTCGCATCGAAGCTAAAAATGTATTTATAGCATAAGATGTTGGTGTCAATATTTTTCTATATATCTGACGAATTGATCACTTTATTTTAAACATATTTAAAAAATATCACTTATTCCATTTAATAACAAAAAATAAAAATGGACAAATATTCTATAATTTTATAAGTAATTACAAATTGGATGATTATAAAAACAGTCAATCTCGTTAAGAGGAAAATAATACCATACGTCTTAACGGATGAAAATAAATAGAAGGATAAGAGAGAAAAATATTTTTTAGTAATTGATGTTTTTTATTTCTATTAAATTAATACAATTCATAAATAACAATATTTAACAACCACAAGTAGTTGGAGCAGCACATTGGATTGGAGCCGGGGCAGCTGTTAAAAGTGGTAACAAAATACTTAAAATAGCTGGGTTAAGGGGAGTTGGAACTGGGGTTGGAAGTGAGCATGGCAATGGTGATGGGAGTGGAACTGGAGCTGGTGCTGGACATGGCAATGGTAATGAGTTAGTGGCTGGGAGTGGAGTTGAGGCAGGGGTCAAAAGTGATAACAAAGCGTTCAAAAGAGCTGGGTTGAAGGGAGCTGCAGATGGTGCTGGTGCTGGGCATGGTAATGGAAGAGAGACTGGGCCAGAGGCTGGTAATGGTAATGGCAAGGGAGAGAGTGGTACAGAGATAGGTGCTGGTGCTGGGGCTGGAATAAAGCATGGAGTAGGAGCTGGTGCTGGAGTTGGTATGGCAGCTAAAAGTGGCAACAGAGCGCTCAAAAGTGAAGATGATGAAGAGCATGGAGCTGGGGTTGGGACTGGAAGAGGTAATGGAATAGGTGCTGGGGTTGGGACTGGAAGAGGTAATGGAATAGGTGCTGGAGCTGGTGCTGGGGCCAAAAGTGGCAACAAAGCGCTCAAAAGTCCGGAGAGTGAAGATGATGAAGAGCACGGAGCTGGTGCTGGAATTGGGGTAAGAAGAGGTAATGGAAGAGGGGCTGGAGCTGAGGCTAAGATTGGGCAAGGTGGAGATGGTGCTGCGGCCAAAAGTGGCAATATGCTCAAAAGAGCAGGACTAATGCCAGGTGCTGAACATGGAGAAGGTGAAACTGGGATGGGAGAACAAGGAAAACCACATGGTCCTGCTTGAATCTATAAAATAATTGAACAAATATTTAATTATGTATTTAATTATAATATTTGTAATAAATGTAACTGTGAATTTTTTTGACATACCTTTGCTACTACAGCAATTGCCAATGTAATTAAAATTTTTGAGCAGACCATTTTTGCTACTCAAGCTACGACTTGTTCCAAATGAATGATAGGTAGATGGTAGGCAACAGATTATTTTATAGCTAATTATTATTTTATCTATATTTTACGTAATAACACGTCTAACACTATTAATTTGTTCACGTTGATAATACGTTAGACAACGCGTAAGGTCAATCATGAATTAATTTTTAAATATCAGCAAAATCAGGATTACATTTTTTTTATTTAATGATATAAAATAAAAATGTTTTCTTATAATTTATTAAATTGTTTTGAAAGTGCGGAGTAAAATTTTAAGTATTAGTTAATAATAAAAGGTTTAACAAGAGTTAAATTATACAGTAAGAAGTTTTTAAATTCGACATTGATACAAAAATGAAAATATTATTAATTGGTAAACATGATTCCCTATAATGTAGTTAAATTTAAAGTATTGAACAATTTTCAATGATAGCTCATTAATGTTGACGTTATTCAAAGAAAAATCTTTCATAAAAATTATTAAAACTTCTTGAATATTAAAAAAAAAAAATATTTTTAACTAATGCCATTAAGATTAAAATTCAAGAATGTCGTATATTTCATAAGAATTTTAACGATTTTAACTATTACAGCGAAAAGAATATATGATAACATTTTGATTAGAAATAAATCTATGGTAGTGAATCTTACAAGCCGGTTTGAAATTATTTTTATGGAAAATAAAAGTAAAATTTTACCATTATTAACTCAAATAATATAAAGAAACGAGGACGTATGCATAAATGTGTATCTCTCTTTTTCACAGGTAAAAAAATGTTTGTTCAAAAAAGATGAGAGAAGGAGTTTAATTTTAATTCTCATAAATAAGTTATATTTTATTTGTGAGAGAGAGATGGCAAAAATTGTATCAACGTCTTAGTGTAAATAATTCATTTTTTATATAAATTTATGAACCTGTATTATGCCATTAAAATAGGACAATATCAGATGTCATTGGCTCTAATTTAGCTTTTATTATTAACAACTGTAAAAATATAACAAAAACGACTGCTCACGACGTTTTAAAATTCAACGACAATTTAAAAATAATAAAAACATTGTTTTGTTGTATTATCCGTAGACTTAATAAAATGACATTTAAAAAACATTTTGCTACGTTTGAAAACTCCATACATAGATTAAATTTCCGCATATATATATATATATTTTTTTTTTATTACATAAAACAAAAAAGAATGATTCATTATATTGTATTTGTTTTTTATATAAATTAACTATCATATTCGTTTTAATCTCAGTATTTTTATGTCGGGAGAAAAAAAAATTAAATCACTCGATTAAGATAATAATTTTGGTAATAAATATGTAGACTGTAATCAATTTACATTATTACTTTTTAAGGTCTAAAATCGTGTTATTAATGTCAACGCAGCATAGATCGCCATGAGTTTATAATATTTATAAGTTTAAGATTATAAATAATTCATTCAATCACGTGTTGTGCCTAACTGTGTAGGTTGACCAGGATTTGCATAAGCAATAGATTAAATAAAGGATGTCAAAAGTCAATAATTAAACAATAAATAATAATACCTAAATTATTTTAGTATGGTTAAAAAATTAAAAAACTATACCTTTTAAATAATATTTAATTAAATTATGAAATTCACAATTAAAAATTATTTATGTGAACATATAATATCATTTAAATACGCATCAAAACAATGAATGATAGTAATTGTTTATGTTGATGATGATTAACTGATTTTACATTAAGTAAACCTCTATAAAATCATGATTGTATTAGTTATTAGTATCGTATATTAGCATATTAAATTATAATATAACTTTTATAAAATGTTACCCCTAAATTGAATCTTTGCTAATATCTATATTAATGACATAATTGAGAATAAAAATAAAATAAAACATACACGAGTCTTATCTTCTATAACTATTCTATTACATACAAATATTATAGTTTAAAATTGGACAATTGTATAGGGATTTAGTAACAATTTTATGAAATAACAGTTATTCTTTTAAGAACGAAACATTCGTTCATATCTTCTGTATTTGATAGCTGACTAGCAATAAATAACAATTTATATCATACAAATTTTATTTAGAAACTTAATACAAATAAGATTTAACTAATTAATTAGAATATGTTTTTATTTTGTAAACACTTGCGTAGCATAAAAATAATATTATATTATATAAATTAATAAGACGCACTATTTTAGAAATATATAAAAAGGATTCTTTTACAGTACAACTTTTGTTTTAATAAAATAAATAAACAATTATTAATAAATTAAATTAAGAGCCATGTAGCAAAATTAAAGGAACTGAAGCCGGAGTAATACATTAGGCAAAAGCTAGTATTTGACGCTGGAGCTGGTAATTGAAGATAAAAATGGTAACAAATCGCTTAAAAAAGCTAGATTAAAGAAAAATACATCTGATGCTGTGCATGTCTATGCATGAGTTGCTGGAGCTAGTGCTGGGCAAGGTTCTGGGACAGAGGAAAAAAGTAATAACAAAGCTCTCAAAATAGCTGGACTAAGGGTTGCTGTAGCTGGAGATGGTGCTGGGCACGGTAATGGAGTTAGAGGTACAGGGATAAGTGTTGGTGTAGTTTTTGGAGCACAACATGGAGTTATCGATGGAGCTAGTACTGAAGTAACACATGGAGCTGAAGTTGATACTGGAGCAACGCATTGAGTAGAAGTGGGTACAGGGCATGACAATGGTATTGAGGCTGATGTTGGTGCTAGTACTGGCAATGGAGTAAGTGATACAGGGATAAGTTTTTGTGTTGTGGCTGTAACACTACATGGAGCGATTGTTGGAACTGGAGCTTGTATTGGAGCCAGAAATGGCAACAAAGAGTTCAAATGTCCGTAGAGTGAAGACGACGAAGAGCATGTAGGTGGCGCTGGTACTGTCGCGGGGAGAGGTAATGGGAGAGATGATGGAATTGGGGATGCACAATTGGTAGGAACCATGGATGACAGAATTAATTGTAATACCGCTGGACTAAGTGTCATCGGGAGAGTACTTGGAGTAGATTTTGGGAGAAGCAATGGAGTCAGTGGTACTTGGATAAGTGGTGCTGAAGCTAAACATGGCAACACATTTAAAAGAGTAGGGCTAACGCCGAGCGCTCTACATGGTGGAGTCGATACTGTAGTGAGAGTACAAGGCAAACCACATGGCCCGGCTTGAACCTGAATATTCATAAAAATTAGTTATACAATTTTTTTCTATGAGATATTTTGTTTAGTTACCTTTGTAATAATAGCGATAACTAACAGTACTAACATTTTTCTTGTTTAAACATATAATGAGTTATAAGTATGAATAAAACAAATTGTGTATAACATAATGTTTTATACTGAATATAATTTTTATCGCATTTTAAATTGTAACACGTTTAAATCCATTATTATGTTTATACTTTACAACGATTAAAATACAAGACAATCTTTTAAGGTCACTTTAATTATGTCAGTAGAGGAACTAATGATTTCCAATTATATTTTGTTCTCTCTTTTCTATAAAATGTATGTGTTTTTTTAAAAATGATAATTAATGAATGTTTACTACAAATGTTAAATTTATAGTTATAAAAAATTAATTTTTTTCATGGTGTACTATTTAAATCATTCAATTTTAATTTTACATTTGATATTTTTTTATTAAAATAATAAAACTTAGATATATATAATATATATATATTTTTTTATATATATATAATATATATATAAATTGATAACTTCTTATTATTCATATATAAAAGTTGTGATCATTTATGTTTAAATCCCCTCATTTTCAACCGCCCTTATTTTTTACGCGCTTTGAAGACCTAGTCAAAGTAGAGTGCTTTCTTGGATAGTTATCCTTTGGAAGTGGCGTTAGTGTCAGAACTTATTCAGAATGTAGGCTATTATTATACTCAGCCTTGGCTACCATTTTCGCCTTTACTGCCAATTTACGATTTTTTTAAACACATTTTATACATGCATTCATGAAAACGAATCATATTCACTTCGTTGACCACATAATATTTGACTTCATAACCTTATACGATCTCTTAAATTGTTTTTACTAATAAAAAAAAGTATAGTTATATGCTATTAAAAGGATAACATGGAGTCAAATGAAATAGTTCTTTTCTTAATACTCAATGTATGACATATATTCAAAACGTTCTTAAAACCTGTCATTAGTAAATAATTTATAATTTATAATAAAAATTGAAAAAATGACAAATTTAAATTAAATTTAAATTTAAATTTGTTGTTATTTTAATGATTCATATCACTTATTTAAAGGCCGTAATGATACTTTGTTATGAATACGCTATCTATTTTTATTATCAATAGATTATAATTATAATATTTTTTATAAAATTTCTGATTTGTCAATTAAGTTGTTGATAATTATAAATACAAAAATATATTAATATTTTTATGCACAAAAAAATATATAAACTATTTAGAAAATGTAGCTATTTTATTCCAAATATTAAAATGATTCAATATACAGTGTTCAGTAAGTAAGGAAACACTACAGTTGTTACAAACAATGAGAACAATAGAAACCCGTTACAGTTATACAGTTCAGATCAACTGTGTTGTGGTCCAAGGTAATCTACCTCATATTTATATACATTATTGTAATTTTTAATATTAAACATTTATGTGTACATTGTATATAGGTGTTCAGTAAGTAAAGCAACAAGTTTCTATTATCCTCATTGTTTATAACAATTAACCTATTTCCTAACTTACTAAACACCTACTTAACTTTATAATGAATTTAAATTATTAAAATATTAATTACTGATTGAGTAAGTAATTTCCTTCGTAGTTATATGATAAATAAATTAATAACTATTTTATAATTATCCTCATGGTATATTAATATAATAAGAGTAAGAGCAATCTAGATAATATAAATCAAAACTAACCACAACGAAAATAATTAAATATCAATGGTACACATTTTTCATGATAAGGTAGTAAAAATCTTTCTTATAAAATTTCCTTCATAGGTGGAATTATACAAATATAGTTGGAGGGATATTGATAATTCCTCTCTAAAAAATATTTTTATAATGTATTACATATATTAATCTTTATTTTTGAGAGGGTTAATTTTATTTATGGTGAGGTTTAACGCCCAAAAGCATTTCTTAACTCTGCCTAAGTTTCCTATTTGTAAAAAAATTCTTAGCACATCACTGAAAAGATATAAATTAAGGTACCCAGTTTTATAAAAATATGTAGTTCGTCCATCATGAAAGGGACTAATAAAAAATTTATATTCGATAAACTATTATTCACGTTTTTGAACTATTAAAAAAATCAAAGTTTATGTTAAAAGTTCAGTTATGGAAAGATTTTTAAAAATCATAAAATGTATACAATTTTGAAGACAAAACTTTCATCATTAATATTTTTTCAAAAATTTAAAAGGATAACCTCTAATTGAACGTTTTTAAAAAGTGTTACATACATATTTCCAATTTAGGTAGATTAACATTTTATAGAATATAATATACATTAAATTTTTTGATAAATAGTATACTATAAGTTGTAAAACTATACGTCATTTCTTATAAATAAATGACAAATATACATCGAAAAGTCTTTCAGATTTGATACTTTACATCTCTATTTTTTTTTTATCCGTCTGTCTATTAGTTACAATAAGTACTTATGTCATAGTTACAATTGTTGATATTAAAATATTTGATAGCTATTCCGTGTTAGTTGTACTTATCCATTTGTCTTAATACAATCGACTTTTACACAGAAGAGTAAATTTAATGTAACCACTTGACTTCTCCAATGTGTAATATTAGGAATGAAAATTTAAAAAAATATTATTATTATTATAGTAATGGTTTGTTTTAAAGAAACAATAAATATTTTTTGAACAAATTTAAAAGACACTGTCTATTACTACTAAAGCATACTGCTGGATAATTATAAGGTTTATATTTATCCGTAAATGAACTAATTACAATCAAAATATTTTATAAATGGCAGAAACTTGATTAATTGTGCTCTCCCAAAAATTTGTGTGTACGAATAGTAAAGTCATAGATGCACGTAAAAAATATGCGTTGACTGTAAAATAAGTAATTTTATTAGGTTTTAACGAACATATTTTTATATCACTTAATATTATCGATAAACATTTACGACCTTTTTAACGATAATAATATTACTTGATTCATTAAAGATATTTTAAATTTCGAACTTGTCTCACAATTATCAGTCTGTTTTTGGCCTTCACTATAATCATTCCGAGCGGTCAACAATATGTAATAAACGGTATAGGGTTAATGAAAAAGTATAGATAAGTGAAGCAATGAAAGTAGTTGATGTCTTCCTAAAATTCTGTGAATAGATAAATTTGGTATCTACGACGTTATTTTTTAAACAAAAATTATAAGTGAAATTAGGAAAATTATTAAAAAAAAAAAAAAACTTCATATTTAATGGCTTAATTATTTTAAATGACATATATACATATTTCGTGTACGTAATTCATTAATTAGAATATTTGTATAGAACTTTCATATATAAATAATAAGAAAAACTAACTTTTCATTTTAACATAATTTCATATTTATTTAAAAAACTTTCTTTGTAATCCAATCATTTGAATAAGAATTTAAATTTCAAATAATTTTTAATCGTGATGTTTTAAATTAGCTATTTTAATAAATCAAAAAAGCTGTTTATTTATTCATACATATCTTTCAAGTATAAGTGCGATTTAAAAAATACAAATGTGTTAATTTAAATTATTTGTAGACAATTTGTTATTGTTTGATTAATAATTTCAACTATAATTTGTTTAAAATTAAGCAAATATTCCTATATTAATAAATTTAAAAAGATTATCTTACGTCACTCTGCCCTAATTACAAAAAGATGTTATTAATATTTTGTTTTCAAATAAGCAAAAAGTCGATAAAAATAATTTTATTTTTATTTTTAATTCTTGATTTTTTTGTTTTTTATCACTATTTCAAATGATAAATTTTTATGTACTTTTTTCACAAAATCAATAGTTTGGCTAATATGCTATGGACAAGTCTAAAAAATATTTGTTTTTTGTTTTCATCAAATAATGCTTCAAAATCTTTAATTTATTAAAGATTAATAGAGTTCAAGTTTTGGAACATTTTCTTTATTTTTATAATAAAAATGTTTTTAAGCCATGTGTCTTAAGTGTAAAATGCTAATTTCTTGTCAAAAGAAATAATGTATATATATATATATATATTTATATATAAAGTAGAATAAATTTTACTGTTCTATCAACATTAATACAAATATTTTTAAAACTCATAATTTACCACGAGTGAAATAATAATAATTATACAACTCCAATGTTTATAAATTTTTTAAACAAGGTTACCAATAACATCAAAATAGCTGACATTATATCTACTAATAGTAAAATAAAGAACATACCAAGCTAATATAATCACTCTAAATTCTAAATAGAATAATTACTACATTTTTAATTAAGGAAAAAAATAAAAATAAACAAATATAGAGTTGTAAATAATTTTTATTTATTCTAATTTAATGAGATTCATATATAACATATTTATATATTAAACTAATATTCAACAACCGCATGGAGCCGGAGCACATGGAGCTGGTGCTGGAGCCAAAAGTGGCAATAAAGCACTCAAAAGAGCTGGGCTAAGAGATGCTGGTGCTGGTGTTGGGCATGGCAAAGGTAATGGTTGAGGGGCTGGTGCTGGGCATGGCAAGGGCAATGGAAGAGGGGCTGGCAATGGTAATGGCAAAGGAAGAGGGACTGGGGCTGGTGCTTGGCATGGAGCTGGAGTTGATGCGCTAGCTAAGAGTGGTAACAATGCGCTCAATAAAGATGGGCTAAGGAGAGTTTGTACTGGAGCTGATACTGGAGCTGGTACAGCGCATGGGGTTGGTGCTGGTACTGGTAATGGAGACAGTGACACAGGGATAAGTGCTGGTGCTGGTGCTGGGACTGGAATAGAGCAAGGAGCAGGGGCTGGTAATGATGCTGGGGTTGGTGCAGCAGCCAAAAGTGGCAATAAAGCGTTGATGAGTGATGATGATGAAGAGCATGGAGCTGGTAATGGGGTAGGAAGAGGTAATGGAATTGGAGCTGGTGCTGGGCAAGGCAATGGGAGGGGGATTGGAGCTGGTGCTGGGCAAGGCAATGGGAGGGGGACTGGAGCTGGTGCTGGTGTAGGAGCCAATAGTGATAACAAAGAGCTCAATAAAGCTGGACTAAGGGGTGTTGGGGTTGGTCCTGAACATGGCAATGGTAATGGAAGTGGGGCTGGTAATTGGCAAGGCAATGGGAGGGGGATTGGAGCTGGTGCTGGGCAAGGTAATGGGAGGGGGACTGGAGCTGGTGCTGGGCAAGGCAATGGTAATGGGAGAGGAGCTGGAGCTGGAGCTGAGATTGGGCAAGGTGGGGATGGTGCTGCGGCCAAAAGTGGTAACAAGTTCAATATAGCAGGGCTAACGCCAGGTGCACATGGTGAGGAAGGGGGAGGGCAACCACATGGTCCTGCTTGAACCTATAAAATAATTGAACAAATATTTATTCATATAACTTTAATCATATAATTGTATTATAATAAATATAACTGTGAATTTTTTTGACATACCTTTGCTACTACAGCAATAGCCAATGTAATTAAAATTTTTGAGCAGACCATTTTTGCTAATCCAGCTACAACGAGTAAGGAAAGAATGATTGAAGTAATGAGATACTTGGTTATTTATACTGTAAAAATGTGCGTTGTCAGTGTAATATCACATAATCAACCATGGCTTTTATCGATTAAACACAAAATGTTTTATCTTTTTTAGTACAACTTGATATGATAATGTATCACTTCTTTTTTGTATCATTGTGCTTCCATGAATATTCACTATTGTATCACATTATCGATAACATTTATTTTGATTGAAGTTATTTTACTAAACTTATTTTTAAATAAATTTTGTTTTAATAAGTCACCGAAATTCAATTGTGAAATTTAGTTATCATCTTTTTGGGATTATACATAAATAACCTTTAAGGGACACAAATTTATATACGGTTAATTCTTTAAATATTCTGTCATAGAATATTTATTATATAATAATATTTTATTGTCAAAAACGACATTAAAAAAATATCTAGGAATATAATATAAATAATACAAAATGACTTCTCTTATAATTTTTCATTTAAAGCAAATATTTTAAATATAAAATATATGATAAGAAAATATTTTTTTAATGTTTGAAAAAGTATTATTTTTTTCAAAATCATCTAACTAGCTTTTTTTATTTAAATTACTATTATATCAATACTCTTTTGTCATATAATTTCTTTTTGTTCGATCACAAATTATTCTGATTGTTTATTTTTAGGTATGTATATGCGCCATGTAATGTACATGTAAAATGAATCTGTTATTGTAAACCACTATATAATAGAAATAATAATAATAATATTGAGAATTTTTTTTTGTTTATTTTAAAAGTTAATATACATAAAAAACTAATCATTTTTCTTATGTAATAATCTTATTATGAAAATTATTGGTCGATAATAACTTATAGATATTCGAAAATTATTATTAATTTAAAGTACGGTAAGAAGCGAGGCGCGGTTTTTTTCATTAGACATTTTTCGTTCGTACTTTCCTTGCCTAAGTATATAAGTGTTAAATTTCCAAAAAACTGGTTCAAAAGTTAGTATTAGCTATTAATTTTCTTAATGAGATAATTTTATTTTTATAAACTAGTTAAATATGTATGTTTTCGTTAAAATAAATAAGTTGACCTCCATTAAAAGGCATGAACATAACAAATACTTCATGATTGATAATTTGAGTAAAAAGAAACTAAAAGAAACCAAAAATTTCTTTATAATATACTTATTAATTTGAAAGAAATTGAGTGGCTAATTTTATAAAAATTATCCTGATTATACATGATGTAATAGATTGAATCGACAACTCTTTGCGATGTATGCGAAGTATTTTCAGTATTGTAAGTCTTGAATTACTAGTTGGTTAAATAAAAGTTATGTGTTTATACTATGTGATTTATTAAGTATACTTCCCCTAATTTTTTCTTTAAATAATGATTTTTCATAATAATTTTATAGATTTAAATTAAATATATTTTTGTAAACTATTGTAAACATCATTTACATTTACCATTGTTAATAATTAATAGAATTAAATTGAAAATGGTCTAAATAAAATGTTAATAGGTTGATAAATAGTTTTTTATTATTGCCTCTTGCAATATTAGCATTTAAAAAAAGTAAGGAGCGGAATAGTATTTAGCGAAGCTCTATTTTTACCATGACACACAAATAAGAAATTTTCTACATTGTGCATTCTTCACGCCTAAAATTATAAATTATAACAACTCAAAAAGCAATAGTATAATACTAGTAATACAATTGTCAAAATTGTATTTAGATCATTATATTATTATCCATTTAATAATAAGTTCCCATTTAACTTTCGAAAGTTGCACCTAAAATCTACTTTTAAATATAATTTTTTTCTACAATTAATAATTATTCACAATTGCTTATTAAATAAATCAAATTTTAATCTACACATTTTTTTCGAAAAAATTATTATTTAACAAACAAATAGATAACAGTTTTAATAAACAAAAATGTTTACAAAGTGGAACATATATGATTCATAATTTTTGATCCAATAATTCTTTTGCAGAATTTTTTTAAAAATAATTTATGCATTGTTAGACTATGTTAAAAACATATTTTTTAGTATTTATTTTTACTAATAAAAGAAATGAAAATTTATTATATTTTTTTTCTAAAATATTAAAATAGCCATTTTATTTCAAAAATGTTAAAGGGTTAATAAAAATTTGAGGACCAGTAATTATTTAGTTTTAATACATAGAGTGAGCATGTAGTGAAAATAGGTCACTCACATTGGTGTATATTTTTATGCATACACCAACCTTTTTCGTAAGAAAAATTCTAAAAACGGCTATTTAAAAATTTTAAATGTGGAAAAGTAATTTTTTTTATTATTCAAGTAAATAGTAAAAAAACGGTAGCACAGTGGGGTCGCTGCATAGTAGAGACATTGCATAGTAGGGTCCAGTATAGATTTAATCTGACAGTGATTAAAATCACTATCATAAGAAACGCTTCGATGCAAATCTGTAGATAGTGTTTAATTTTAAAAAATTGATGGATAATTGCAAAAGCAACATCAACTTCTATTAAAATAAAATACAAAACCCATAATTATCATACAAAAATAGTATATTTTTCAATATGGTAGCCATTTGCG